TCATATCAATCAATGTGATAAACCACATTAATAAAAGAAAGGATAAGAACCATATGGTCCTTTCAATAGATGCAGAAAAAGCATTTGACAAAGTACAACATCCATTCATGGAAAAAATCCTCAACAAAGTAGGTTTAGAGGGAACATACCTCAACATAATAAGGCCATACATAGAAAACCCAAGGTGAACATCATCTTCAATGGGGGAAAAACTGAGAGCTTTCCTCCTAAGGTCAGGAACAAGACAAGGATGCCCACTCTTACCATTTTTATTTAACTTATTACTGGAAGTCCTAGTCACATCACTCAGACAAGAAAAAGTAATAGAAATCATTCAAATTGGTAGGAAAGAAGTAAAACTTTCACTATTTACAAATGACACAATACTCTAAATAGAAAACCATATAGACTGTACCAAAAAAACTTCTAGGATTGATAAATACAGTGAAGTTACAGGATAAAAAATCAATGTATAGAAATCTGTTGCATTTCTATACATTAATAGGCTGCAGACAGAGAAATTAAAGAAATAATCCCATTTATAATTGCACCAAAAAAATAAAAATACCAAGGAATGAACTTAACCAAGAGGTCAAAGACCTGTACTCTGAACACTATAAAACACTGATGAAAGAAATTGAAGAGGACACAAACAATTGGAAATATATTCCATGCTCATGGATTGAAAGAACGTGTATTGCTAAAATGTCTATACTACCCAAAGCAATCTACAGATTTAATGCAACCCCTATCAAAATACCAAAAGTTTTCACAGCACTAGAATAAACCAAAAAACACTAGAACAAACCAAAAAATTTAAATGGAACCACAAAAGACCCTGAACAGTCAAAGCAATCTTGAAAACAAACAAACAAACAAAGCTGGAAGTAACACAATTTCAAATTTCAAGTTGTGTTACAAAGCTGTAGTATCAAAAACAGTATGGTAACAGCAAAAAATAGATACAAAGATCAATGAAATATAATATAAAGTCAATACTATAAAGCTCCTTCAACAAAGGAGGCAAGAATATGCAATGGGGAAAAGACAGTCTCTTGAACAATTGTTGTTGAGAAAACTGGACATCTACATGAAAAAGAATGAAACTGAGCCACTTTTTTATACCATACACAAAAATAAACTCAAAATGTGTTTAGTCATAGATGTGAGAACTGAAAATAAAAATCCTACAAGAGAGCACAGGCAATAATCTCTCTGACATTGGTCATAAGAACTTATTTCTACATATGTCTCCTAAGGCAAGGGAAGCAAAAGCAAACTATTGAGACTACATCAAAATAAAGTTTCTACACAGCAAAGGAAACAATCAACAAAACTAAAAGACAACCTACTGAGTGGCAAATGACTTATCCAGTGAAGCATTAGTATCCAAAATATATAAATAACTTGTAAACTCAATACTCCAAAAATTAACAATCCAATTAAAAAATGGGCAGAAGACATAAATGGACATTTTTCCAAAGAAAACATACAGGTGGCCAACAGACACATGAAAAGATGCTCAACATTATCAGGGAAATGCAAATCAAAACCACAATGAGATATCACCTCACACTTATCAGAATAGCTAAAATTTAAAAATATAAGAAAAAATAACCACAAGAAACAAGTGTTTATGAGGATGTGGAGAATAGGGAACCTTTGTGCACTGTTGATGGGAATGAAAATTGGTGTAGTCACTGTGAAAGTCAGTATGCAGTTTCCTCAAAAAATTAAAAAAAGAACTAGCATACGATCTGGTAATGATACTACGGAGTATTTACCCAAATAATATGAGAACACTAATTCAAAAGGATATTTGCACCCCAATGTTTATTGCAGCACTATTTACAATAGCCATAGTATGGAAGCAGCCCAAATGTCCATGGATAGATGAATGGATAAACAGTATGTGTTATATATATACAATGAAGTATTATTCAGCCATAAAAAAAGAATGAAATCTTGCTATTTGCAACAACATGGATGGATCTAGGAAGTATAATTCTTAGCAAAATAAGTCAGTCAGAGAAAGACAAATACATCTGATTTCACTCATATGTGGAATTTAAGAAATAAATGAACAAAGGGGGTAAAAATAGACAAATCAAGAAACTATAGAGAACTAACTAATGGTTTAAGAGGGAAGGTGGGGGAGGGAGGGGGGAAATAGGTGATGAGGGTTAATGAGTGCACTTGTCATGATGAGCAGAGAGTGATGTAAGGAAGTGTTGAATCACTATATTGTATATCTGAAACCAATATAACAGTATATGTTAACTATAATGGAATTAAACAGAAAAACTTAATTAAAAAACCATTCACTTAGCCAGCAATTGTATGTCAGGAAGTTTATTTTCAACTAGCAATAATGAAACAAATTTTTATCTGTGAAGATATTCAACACAGCATTAATTATGATAACAAAGAATAGGAAGCAACCTATATGCCCAACAAAAGTAAAATAGTGATATATCCACATGTTGTAGGTATAAACATATCCTATTTTGAAAGAATAACTAATGACCTGATAAGATGTTCCAATATATGTTGAAAAATGAAAGGTAAGACACAATGAGATTAAAAATTTTTTTAACAAATATCTATGTATCAAGAGAGGAAGAGAAAATGGAAGAAAACACGAAATTTTGATTAGTGGTTATTTCTGGGTAGCAAAATTATGAGTTACTTTTATATTTTATTCCTTTACCTTTACATTTCCCTTTGGATATATATTCATATAGTCATTAAAAATGGGATTTTTTATTAAGAAAAATTTATATTTATTTATTTTGATAGAGAGAGACAGGGCACAGTGGGGAGGGACAGAGAGAGAGGGAGACATAGAATCTGAAGCAGGCTCCAGGCTCAGAGCTGTCAGCACAGAGCCCGATGTAGGGCTCAAACTCACAAACCTCAAGATCATGAGCTGAGCCAAAGTCGGATGCTTAACTGCCTGAGCCACCTAGGCACCCCCCCAAAATAGTAATTTTTTTAATAAAGTGGGAAGTCAACATTTTGCACTGTGTATCATAGGTAGCCACCTTTTGTGAAAGAAATATTAGGTAGATAAAAGTCCATTTAATACATTTGTAACTTCAAACCAAGAATTTTATGCAAATATGGGCTGAACAATTAGATGACCATTTATGAGAAAACTGCTCTGATTTCTGAGCAGCAAGGACCTGACAAGAAGAATGATCAGAGGTGGAACCAGACAGAAATAAGATGTGGCTCTTGAACATTACTAACCAAAGAGATATTTTTCCTCCATCTAAGAAGGTGGATGCCATTGTTAAGGCCACTAGCTAAAGAGGTTTTGGAAGAGAAACTGACAGTCTTGCCCCTGTCTTTCTGAGGCTCCCAAGCTACTAAATATTATCCTAGCTTTCACCACTGTAACTCTGCACACAAGGGGCACATATTGGAAAGTTCAGTGTGCAATACATCACCTGCTGGAGCTAAACCCTGGGCTCTATGCATGATCTGAGTGGCTGCACACCAACCTTTTAGTCAAGCAGATGTCCTTATTATTATTTCAAAGTTACACTGGAGAAAATATCAGACCAGGGTGTACTGTTGCCCTAAAAATCCTTTAATCTTTTATGATATTAATACCAGCCCTCTCAAGCCTACTTGTGAGACCAACCAGTGTTGTTAAATGGCCATGAGAGTCCCTATATTGAGTCCAGCCATGGTTGTCAGCAGGTAGAGGGCCAGGGTATCACATGCCTGGCTCACAAAGGAGACCAGGGACATTTGAATGACAGCCTTGTTTAAGTGATAGGATTATTTCTTTTATGCTTAGCAGAGGAAGATGAACTCTAACAGGAAGATGGTGGTCAAGTGATAAGTTTCTGATCCCATCTCTTAGTAGTGGGGACAACAATGTTCCAGAGTCCTCCTGAAAGTAGAGCACATTTGGTATCCCCACAGCTCATTGTCCAGCCTCGTCCCTCCATCCCATGCCCAAGTCTTCCAGGAGTTTTGATTAACTAATTTTAGTGTCTGAGTAAAACTGTCAAGAATTACTAGTCACTCAAACAGAAATGGCCAGTATAAGTCTGCCAAAAGTCAGCATTATGCACAGAAATTGATGTTGGTTCTTACCAAGGTATGACAGTGGAGTTTTATCCCAGGCCCAGCCCAGCCAAGTAGGGCCCTGCAGAAGCCCAAGGTCACAGTCTCCATAGGCTTCAGGTCACTCTGCCTCTCAGGCAGAGCTACTGTTTCAAATCTTAAGCAGGGCTGGTTCTGAGAACCTTCACTGTGCATACATGAGCTGTGAGCTTACAATCCAAGAACGTCAACAGAAATCTTGTTCAACACCAAATGTCAGTTCATTTTAGCAGCACCATTTTTTGGAGCTGCCAATGGCAATTCTGCCCATTCACCTACTTTCAAAGTGCAGTGATGCAATATGAAAACAGGCACGCAGGGAGTTAGGACTCCAGCATGGGCCCTGCTCCTTTGGAGCAGCTTTTCCTTTGTAGGAGCAAGCACTGGCTGTTTTTCCTCACCCAGGGCTTCATCTCTGTGCTGCCCTCCTGATAGGTGTCCACACATGAATGCATGTTGCCAGGCTGCCTCTGTCTGCAATATTCCTGGGTCCTTTCAAGTACAAGATTTTTCACTGGGCAATCTGGTAGGAGGTCTACAGATTCTCATTATGCAGCCCATCATTGATAGTCAACGCACAATTCCCAGTTGGAATTTTCAAGAGAACAACATAAAATACCCAGGAATCCCACAACCATTTACTGACCCCTAGGGTCAATCTTATTCAGAATACCTGAATCATGCTCTGGGTTATGAAGCTAATCTCAGCAATAAATTTTTAACGTGTGTTTTCTTTTAGCTAAGCTCACCTAACACTAACATCTCTCTAATTGCTAAAAACATGTTTATCCTAGTGCTTAACAGTACATATTGCTATTTTTTTTTAATTAAGTGAGCTTCGGGATCAAATAAACAGAAATTTAAAATGAGCTTTAAAGTACCTGAAAAATTCCATGAAAGAGAATCCATATCCATGCTGCTCAGCAATTCCTGCACAAACTACATTTGACGATGCTCCAATCAGTGTCCCATTACCTGGAATCAAAATTTTTAAAGTAAAATAAAATTTCAGTTTATCTTAGTAGTAGGTTTCTATTACCTTTTGTTCTGCAATATTCAGATCATCTCACAGGCTTTTGATTTGATGATTACTTTACAGGTACTATCAAAGTGATTGCTTTGCAAATATCTGCAGAAAACAAACAAAACACTGACAACCAGAAAATAAGTTTCCTGCTTATAAGTACTGAAATTCATTTACAGATAGGACTATGACAGTTCTATGTGATAGAAAAGAGGAAATGTTAAGGAGAATTGGCAAATCACTGTGGGACGTGGTGGCATTTATTTACATTTTAAAAGAAAATGTAAGACAGGCTAACAACTCTAGGAGAGAACAGGTGTCTTCAGAGCAGTAGAATGGGATCTCAAATAAGAACCACCCTCCTAAATCCAAGAGGCACAGACAACTCCCTTCAGACATAACTTGAATCAAACTTCCGCACAACATATCATAGTGAAGCTGGCAAAATACAAGGATAAAGAGAAAATTCTGAAAGCAGCTAGGGATAAACGTGCTCTACATATAAAGGGGGACCTATAAGACTCGTGATGGATCTCTCTACTGAAACTTGGCAGGCCAGAAAGGAATGGCAGGAAATCTTCAACGTGATAAACAGATAAAATATGCAGCCGAGAATCCTTTATCCAGCAAGTCTGTCATTCAGAATAGAAGGAGAGATAAAGATCTTCCCAAACAAACAAAAACTGAAGGAATTCGTCACCACTAAACCAGCCCTACAAGAGATCTTAAGGGGGATCCTGTGAGACAAAGTACCAGAGACGTCGCTACAAGCATGAAACCTACAGACATCATAATGACTCGAAACCCATATCTTTCAATAATAACATTGAAGGTAAATGGACTAAATGCACCAACCAAAAGACATAGGGTAACAGAATGGACACAAAAACAAGACACATCTATTTGCTGTGTACAAGAGACTCATTTTAGACCTGAGGACACCTTCAGATTGAAAGTGAGGGGATGGAGAACTATCTATCATGCTATTGGAAGTCAAAAGAAAGCTGGAGTAGCCATACTTATATCAGACAAACTAGACTTTAAATTAAAGTCTGTAACAAGAGATGAAGAAGGGCATTATATAATAATTACAGGGTCTATCCATCAGGAAGAGCTAACAATTATAAATGTCTATGTGCTGAATACGGGAGCCCACAAATATATAAAACAATCACAAACATAAGCAACCTTACTGATAAGAATGTGGTTATTGCAGGGGAATTTACACTCCACTTACAGAAATGGATAGATCATCTAGACACATGGTCAATAAAGAAACAAGGGCCCTGAATGATACATTGGATCAGATGCACTTGACAGATATATTTAGAACTCTGCATCCCAAAGCAAAAGAATATACTTTCTTCTTGAGTACACATGAAACATTCTCCAAAATAGATCACATACTGGGTCACAAAACATCCATTAATAGGTATAAAAGACTTGAGATCATCCCATGCACACTTTCAGAACACAATGCTATGAAACTTGAAATCAACCACAGGAAAAAGTCTGGAAAACCTCCAAAAGCATGGAGGTTAAAGAACACCCTACTAAAGAATGAATGGGTCAATCAGGCAATTAGAGAAGAAATTTAAAAATATAAGGAAACAAACGAAAATGAAAATACAACAATCGAAACACTTTGGGATGCAGCAAAGGCAGTCCTGAGAGGAAAATACATTGTAATCCAGGCCTATCTCAAAAAACAAGAAAAATCCCAAATACAAAATCTAATAGCACACCTAACAGAAATAGAAGCAGAAGAGCAAAGACAGGCTAAACCCAGCAGAAGAAGAGAAAGAATTAAGATCAGAGCAGAAATAAACAATATAGAATCTAAAAAAAAGGTAGAGCAGATCAATGAAACCGAGAGTTGTTTGTTTGTTTGTTTTTTTTTAATAAACAAAATTGATAAACCTCTAGCCAGGCTTCTCAAAAGAAAAGGCAGAGGACCCAAATAGATGAAATCATGAATGAAAATGGAATTGTTACAACCAATCCCTCAGAAAGACAAGCAATTATCAGGGAATACAAGGAAAAATTATATGCCAACACACTGGACAACCTGGAAGAAATGGACAAATTCCTAAACACCCACACACGTCCAAAACTCAATCAGGAGGAAATAGAAAGCTTGAACAGACCAATAACCAGCGAAGAAATTGAATCAGTTGTCAAAAATCTCCCAACAAATAATAGTCCAGGACCAAATGGCTTCCCTGGGGAATTCTACCAGACATTGAAAGCGGAGATAATACCTATCCTTCTCAAGCTATTCCAAAAAATAGAAAGGGAAGCAAAACTTCAGACTCATTCTATGAAGCCAGAGTTACTGTGATTCCTAAACCAGACAGAGACCCAGTAAAAAAAGAGAGCTACAGGCCGATGTCCTTGATGAATATGGATGCAAAAATTCTCAATAAGATACTAGCAAATCGAATTCAACAGCTTATAAAATGAATTATTCACCATGATCAAGTGGGATTCATTCCTGGGATGCAGGGCTGGTTCAACATTCACAAATCAATCAACGTGATAATTCACATTAATAAAAGAAAAGATAAAAACCATATGATCCTGTCAATCGATGCAGAAAAAGCATTTGAAAAAATTCAGCATCCTTTCTTAATAAAAACCCTTGAGAAAGTCGAGATAGACGGAACATACTTAAACATCATAAAAGCCATTTATGAAAAGCCCACAGCTAACATCATCCTCAATGGGGAAAAACTGAGAGCTTTTCCCCTGAGATCAGGAACACGACAGGGATGTCCACTCTCACCGCTGCTGTTTCACATAGTGTTGGAAGTGTTAGCATCAGCAATCAGACAACAAAAGGAAATCAAAGGCATCAAAATTGGCAAAGATGAAGTCGAGCTTTCGCTTTTTGCAGATGACATGATATTATACATGGAAAATCCGACAGACTCCACCAAAAGTCTGCTAGAACTGATACATGAATTCAGCAAAGTTGCAGGATACAAAATCAATGTACAGAAATCAGTTGCATTGTTATACACTAATAATGAAGCAACAGAAAGACAAATAAAGAAACTGATCCCATTCACAATTGCACCAAGAAGCATAAAATCCCTAGGAATAAACCTAACCAAACATGTAAAAGATCTGTATGCTGAAAACTATAGAAAGCTTATGAAGGAAATTGAAGAAGACATAAAGAAATGAAAAAACATTCCGTGCTCATGGATTGGAAGAATAAATATTGTTAAAATGTCAATACTACCCAAAGCTATCTACACATTCAATGCAATCCCAATCAAAATTGCACCAGCATTCTTCTTGAAGCTAGAACAAGCAATCCTAAAATTCATATGGAACCACAAAAGGCCCCGGATAGCCAAAGTAATTTTGAAGAAGACCAAAGCAGGAAGCATCACAATCCCAGACTTCAGCCTCTACTACAAAGCTGTAATCATCAAGACAGCATGGTATTGGCACAAAAACAGACACATAGACCAATGGAATAGAATAGAAACCCCACAACTAGACCCACAAACGTATGGCCAACTAATCTTTGACAAAGCAGGAAAGAATATCCAATGGAAAAAAGACAGTCTCTTCAACAAATGGTGCTGGGAGAACTGGACAGCAACATGCAGAAGGTTGAAACTAGACCACTTTCTCACACCATTCACAAAAATAAACTCAAAATGGATAAAGGACCTAAATGTGAGACAGGAAACCATCAAAACTCTAGAGGAGAAAGCAGGAAAAGACCTCTCTGACCTCAGCCACAGCAATTTCTTACTTGACACATCCCCAAAGGCAAGGGAATTAAAAGCAAAAATGAACTACTGGAACCTCATGAAGATAAAAAAAAAGCTTCTCCACAGCAAAGGGAACAATCAACAAAACTAAAGGCAACCAACGGAATGGGAAAAGATATTTGCAAATGACATATCGGACAAAGGGCTAGTATCCAAAATCTATAAAGAGCTCACCAAACTCCACACCCGAAAAACAAATAACCCAGTGAAGAAACGGGCAGAAAACATGAATAGACACTTCTCTAAAGAAGACATCCGGATGGCCAACAGGCACATGAAAAGATGCTCAACATCGCTCCTCATCAGGGAAATACAAATCAAAACCACACTCAGATATCACCTCACGCCAGTCAGATATCACCTCACGCCAGTCAGAGTGGCCAAAATGAACAAATCAGGAGACTATAGATGCTGGAGAGGATGTGGAGAAATGGGAACCCTCTTGCACTGTTGGTGGGAATGCAAATTGGTGCAGCCACTCTGGAAAACAGTGTGGAGGTTCCTCAAAAAACTAAAAATAGACCTAACCTATGACCCAGTAGTAGCACTGCTAGGAATTTACCCAAAGGATACAGGAGTACTGATGCATAGGGGCACTTGTACCCCAATGTTAATAGCAGCACTCTCAACAATAGCAAAATTATGGAAAGAGCCTAAATGTCCATCAACTGATGAATGGATAAAGAAATTGTGGTTTATATACACAATGGAGTACTACGTGGAAAAGAGAAAGAATGAAATATGGCCCTTTGTAGCAACGTGGATGGAACTGGAGAGTGTGATGCTAAGTGAAATAAGCCATACAGAGAAAGACAGATACCATATGTTTTCACTCTTATGTGGATCCTGAGAAACTTAACAGAAACCCATGGGGGAGGGGAAGAAAAAAAAAAGAGGTTAGAGTGGGAGAGAGCCAAAGCATAAGAGACTCTTAAAAACTGAGAACAAACTGAGGGTTGATGGGGGGTGGGAGGGAGGGGAGGGTGGGTGATGGGTATTGAGGAGGGCACCTTTTGGGATGAGCACTGGGTGTTGTATGGAAACCAATTTGACAATAAATTTCATATATTGAAATTAATTAATTAATTAATTAAATCAAATAGAGATCAAGAGACAAAAAAAAAAAAGAAAGAAAGAAAGAAAAAGAAAAAAAAGAACCA